TGGGTCTCGGCCGACCCTGGTGGGTGCTGCTGGGTCTCGGCCGACCCTGGTGGGTGCTGCTGGGTCTCGGCCGACCCTGGTGGGTGCTGGTGGTGTGCCTTTGGCCACAACAGTGAAGGGGCAACTGAGTGGCAGTTGTGCCACCTTTGTAGCAAACGCCTTCCTCACAGTGGCTAGCTCTGTGGTGACAGGACAACTGTGTGGATTTCTCAGTTAAAACCTGATCTTATTTTTATGTTGCGGAAGAGGGAGTAGTTGCTATTCACTCAGAAGAAAATCAGAGGTTTATGGCATCGTGGTCCTTTAATTTTCAGAAAATCATTTCTTCCCTAGAACCTGCTTCATATAAAACAAGGAAAGGCTTCTGAAATACACCGAGTATAAAATTGATTTGCACAAAGTAAGTTGACCTTTGAAAACGTGGAATAATATTACCATACCGAGACCCACTTGCGCATATTTCAGGAATATCGGAAAGTTCAGCACACTTCAGGCTTCTGCTGTTTCTGGCGGCTTGTCCGAAGTGACGGCTACTATATACGTGCTCGCCAGCACCCCTCTCTGTCGAGGGGCAGGTTTCCTCACGCCAACTGTGTCCCCATGAATTTCAACATTGGAACACTAGAAATAAGTTATTTCTTTAACTCTGCCTTTGAATGCGGTATAAAAATACATAAGGTGGAGCTCCAATATTTAAAGCACCTCTACATGTCTTATCTGTGGCTGCCCTTGGTGTTGATTCATCGCCACTTTGCAGTTGTCAACAAAAGTGTCTGGGGGGCCTCTCTGTGAAGCCATCACCAGCCACTGCAGCCTGAGTCCATCCCCGGCCAGGGAGTGACCCACAGGGTGCAGCAGACCGCTTCTGTCTCCCCGCTGCCCCCTCAAGCAGTGGATGTCAGTGGATCCACGTGTTCGGCTCCCCACTCCGTCTCTGGTGGATACTCTCACTGTCCTCCCCCCTCCCACGTCTGCCCTGCACCCTATTTATATGCGTAACTAAGTAAATGTTAAAAAAAAAAAAGTGTCCGGGAGACCAAGCATCCAACACTGAGGTCTAACCGGGTCGGAAAGAACTAGAAGATGGGACCGACTCTGGCCTGACCCCTCGACCTCCTGCTGTTCAGCAAACCCCATCTAGTGTGGGGAGAGGCTGGGTGAGCGCACCCCCAGTGAGACCAAGTCGTCATTGACCTGCAGATGGGAGCCCGCGGCTCACAGGCCCTCTCTGCTCACGCCAGTCTCTCCCCCGCGTGCACACAGAGAACTGTTACTTCTGCTTCTCCTTGTAAGCCAAGGAAGCAGTAGCTTTAGCCACAGCTGGGATGACTCCCTGGGTGGGCTGGAGCGTCCGGATCTGTGAGTTTTTCCTGCTGTTTTCTGATCCCGATTTTCCATTTTCGGGTCCCGCGTTTGTAGCCGCACCCCGACTCTGCTCCAGCTGAGCGCAGACACCCTGCTGGGAGCAGGGGCCCGGCAGCGTTTCAGTCACGATCCAGCTCCTTGCAAGGGCTGTAGCTGAGCCATAAATACTTGTCAAGGGCAGAAATGTAGCCCAGAGGGTCGTCGTCCTGGAGTAAATCACTCGTTTATTTATCTCACGGACATGCCTGAAATTGATTATTTTAACTGTATTTATCTTTTTTGATGGGAGGGAAAATAATGGCTTTATGGTTCACGGCACTTTTGTCCTCCTATGAATCAACACAGCCCTGGCTGAAAGTGAAAAAAGTCAGTAAAAAAGGGGGCTGTCGAGAAGCGACGATAATTCTTCTTTCTTTAAGGAGAGCTTGAGGGCTGCCATTACTCAACGCGAGATCTATTAGCAGAACTCAGGAGAAAGTGAATGTTATGAACTATCGATTCACTCCCCCAAGCTGCAAGACCCGCCTGCTTTTCCTTTTTGAGAACCAGGGGCTCAGTGCGTGTGAGTCCCGCGGCCTGGCGCGGCACCCATGGTTCTGGGGGCACCCGAGCTGTGAAGTCTGGGCTGGGCTGGAGAGCTGCCTGGCATCGTAGGTAGCCCTGGTTCTGCTCCCAGGACAGCCAGCCTCGGGGCCTCGCTGGGGTACGCCAGCAGATAATAGGAGCGCCCACCCCCAGCCCCAGACCTGTGGGTCTGCAGCACCCAGGGGCTCTGGGGGGAATTAAGTTTGAGGACCTCCGTGGTGCTGTCTTGTGGTTACTGGGTGTTCGGTGCGCAGTGAGGGGTGCTGCAGAGCCCGGTGAGGCCAGGGTGTGCCTGGGCTGCCGGGGGGCGCCTGCCCTGCGCAGCCCTGCAGGTGCGCAAACTGCTGTGCCCCCCCAGAGCGGCTGGATTCCCCCCCTTCTCCCTCCAGCTTCTCCTCCCCACCCCCTTCCCCGCCCTCCCTCCTTCCTTCCTTTGTCATGAACATGTCACCAAACTCTTCGTTCACCTTCCTGGGCATTTCTTCAGAAAGACGCAGTCAGTGTAATGTGCAGGGTTCCAGGGGCAGGTGTGATCCCAGAGACCCCCATTTCTTCCTTTCATTGGGGTGACTCGCTGTCATAGCGTTATCCAAGCTTCCAGTGCGCCCCACAGGTCCACGGCCTGCCCTTCCCGAGACCCCGTCCCTCCTTTCACGCCTACTTACTCTTCGTTTACTGTTAATAGGTGCTCACATCTTACTTACACAGCGGTTCTCTCTTTTTTTTTTAAAGGTTTATTTATTTGTGCCCACAGAACTGGGGTAGGGGCCAGAGGTGCAGGGGCAGTGAGAGGCTTCACCAGAGACAGAGTGGGGAGCAGAACAGGCAGATCGACGAAGTACACTGCTGAGGGGAGCAGCGGGCGGGTCAGGAGAGGTCTGCCGCGCCATGTGGTCCCCTCCGGGGCAGGCGGGGATCGAACTCATGCGGAAGCGGCTTTAGCTTCTCAGTGCTGTGCTGTAACCCGCTGCGCCACCAGGGAGGGCCAGCGGTTCTCTTTTTTTAAGGTTGATTTATTTATGTGTACAGAACTGGGGGACAGGCCAGAGGTGTGGGGCTTCACCGGAGACAGAGTGGGGAGCAGACAGGCAGATCTACCGAGACTCGCTGCTGAGGGGGTCGGGGGGGAGGCAGGCGAGGTCTGCCGGGCGCTGCGGGTCACACTGCCGGGGTCGGACTCGAGGTGAACGGGTGCGCTGGCCTCTGTGCTGTGCTTGAACCTGTTGCCGCACCAGGGCGGGCCCCTAAAGCTATTTTCTTAATAGCAAGGATATGTGTAAGCTCTGAGCCGCTTTTTCCCACGTTAATGATGATTTCAATGTGGAAATTCTTCTACTAATCCTATGTATTTATTTGTTTTTTTTACCAACTGCAAAGTCATTTCTTTTCCCAGACATTAAACAACATTCATTTCTAATGTTTACATGAAAAAATTTAGATCTTTAGTCCATCTGGGCTCTTATTTTTCTCTAGTGAGATGTAAATAGTACTTCAAAAGTAGCTCATCAGTTTGCCCGGGATGTCAGTGGATTTTAAAACCCTGACTTTCATGTCCCCACTGTGATCGCCTGTGGAGTTTAACCTCAGCATCCACTCAATTCAAATTACTCAGCAGAGCAAGTGTCACTCTTTGATAGTCCTGTTCAGTGCAAAATGATTTCCTGCTTTTTTGTTTCATTTTTTTATGATTTGCCAAGAGCTTTAAAAGGTTAATTTCTTATTTAATGGAGACAACATTTCACTTTTCCTGTGAGTGATGGTTTTATTCATTTTGTCCTGAATGCATTTCGCCTTCCCTTTCCCCATCACACCCAGACAGACCCCTGGCATGAAGTATTCATCTACTTTACAGCTTTTATTACCTTACTGGGGATGACAAAGACAAATACAAATAGTGTTTATTATGGGCCTTAGTGTCTCTGCAGTAAACCTTACCGAAGGGGAGTGGGGTGTACACATTGTGCTCTGCTTGGGACAGAAGCTGCGGTCACGGGCGAAATGGTGGGTGGGAGTGGGGGGGTCACCTGTGGAAGAGCTCGAAGGACAGGCGGAAAGCTTGGTTTAGATTTAGTCACATCCAAACAGGTAGGACTCAAGTGCCGGCCCTGGGCTTTGGTTTCCTAGGGAGAGGAGGCCCGCTGCCCTGTCTCAACGGCCCCCTTCCCGTGGTAGAGAAAGCTTGCCTTGCGGGGCGAGACAGCTCCTGAGTCTCCTTCAGCTGTGGGTTTCTCCTGGCACTGGCTCGCGGGGCGAGGGGTGGGGTGACCCACACCTTGGGCAAGGGGATGTTCCCTCCCGGGCCCTCCTGGATTGTTGCCTCAGAGGGCCTCACAATTGTGTGACGTCAGCATCTCTGCGGGCTGAGCCTTGCCACGGGTGGGGGTGGGGGCCAGGAAGGAGGCTCTGGATGTGTCAGAGGCCACACAGCTGAGAGGTGGAAGGGGCAGCATGAGAATTTCAGATTTTTGGGCGATTGCGCTTTCCAGTTAAGTCCCCAAAGGAGCCACAGCTTTTCCTGTTCCCTTCACTGTTAACGCGAATGTACAGACCTCAGTGCCACACAGCGGTGTGTGTACTTAGCATGTCAGACACAAGACATGATCTCACTTCTGTGCCTCTTTGATAGTCTTTTTGGTCTGGAAGGTTTGTGTCTGTGGTCAGAGCTCATCAGAGGGAAGCGGTATCTGCGTGCAACACACGCTCAGGCGTTAAAATAAAAGAATTGAAGAATGAATCAAAATCTGCGAAGAGTCAGAAATGTTTAGGAGGGTCTCAAGAAAAATTGTCCTTTTTTATGTGTCTAGCCCTGTGCTGTATTGGATTCTTTGTTTGCCTGAAATTGTTAGACTCTGATGATTTATGCACCTTTCTCATTTTCCACCTTCCTCACCCCGCCCCCCACCCCTGATTTTGGCTGAATTCCTAAATTCTATTATAATTTTTTCCTCCTAGGTAAAATGGATTACCAATATATCCTCTTCATAGTTGGAGGGGCAGTTATCTTGTCGCTGTTTGTTATCCTAATTACCGCGGCCATTGTCATTTCCTGTCACAGGTGAGTGTCCTGGGTCCTCCTGCATCTGCGTGGATCCCAGGGAAGGCGGCTGCAGAGGGATGTGCTTGCGTACAGCGGTGCTCCTGACTGCTGTTCTTACACAAAAGAAGAGCAAGAGTCCTACTGATGTCGGGGGGAAGCTGGGTAGGCCATGTAAGAGTTAGTGGGATATTAACACAACTCCCTTCTCCCATCTACCGTCTACCACCTGCAAAGGGGAAGGACGTCAGATGAGGGGTGTGTGTGTGTGTGTGTGTGAGAGAGAGAGAGAGAGAGAGAGAGAGACAGAGAGAGAGACAGAGAGAACAAACTGACTTTGAAAAGGGGAAGCAGTGGACTAATTTATTCATGAAACATTTTTTGTGATCATGGTGAACCAGGCATCGCAACAGGTCACATTCTAGTAAGCAAACAGTGTGATTTTCTTTTCAATTGTTTTATATTTAAAAGGGCAGGTTTGTTAGAAAAGGGACAGCAAAGTAAAGGACACTTGCATGACACCGGCGGGGGGAAGAGCTGCCCTGGAAGGGACAGGTTTTCTAAGAGAGGCCTCAGGTTTGCTGCTGAGGAGGCTGCTGCCCTGCAGAGGGAGTGAGCTGAAAAGAAGCACAGGTGGGCGGAGAATGACTGCCAGCAGCTTAATTTTAAATGATGGCACTTTTTTGTGAAACAAGCATTCTATGTGCTACTATTAAAGGTTTGGGAATGTTCTAGAACATTCTTGGTTGACTCTCTTTTTTCAGCTCATCAGTGTGATTTTGCATGCATTTCTTGCCATCTTAGCTGTCATCATATTAGGTTGGATGACTCCTTGACTGGTTGAACTAAAGAGTTACTGTCTTTAGAAGGGGACAAAGCTTCCCTTTGACGTACACACTTCCTGTGTCTGACACATTATAGACATTAACATGTTGGCAAAGTGAATGAAAACACCTGAAGCCAATCTTCTCTTCTTCCTAGTATCATTACTAAACACACACACAGACACAAAATCACACACACTCACACCCACACACACACAGGTGCACACACGTGCATGTGAATACGCAGCTTATTACGAGGCTTTCTGGCAGCTTCTGCATCTGGCCCCTGTAACCTCATAGCTCCACCTGACCTTGGCAGTTCTCTTCTGTCTGCGCTCTCTTTTCCTTCTAACCCCTCTGATCCCCCTCAACAGCTACACTGCCTCTGACCTCCTCCTTTTCTTCCCTTCCCTGAACCACCCGAATTATGTGGAGACTCAGCAGCTCTGACCTGGAGTCAGAGTCCTGCCTCAAACTCATGTTCACTCCCGTCTCCTATGCCCTCTCCCCCTCTGTCACAGCGTCATTCTGAGGACATCTCAGCCTCTCCCCGTGGCGAGCTACCCTGGGGCTTCCTCCCCCTTGTGTGGCCTGTGGTTATATAGGGCGTGGGCCCATGTCTGCCTGGGGAGGGGTGTTCTGCTCTGCTTCTCCTACCCTGCAGAGAGACTTGATGTCACCCTCCCTGTCACGTCGTCCCCTGTTCATCCTCCCTTCATTCATGCTGTCAGGACTTAAACTGAATTCAATTTGATAGCATTCAGCACAGTCTTCCCAAATAGGAGGGGCTTAATAAAGGTTGGTCTAATGAAACTGAAACCAGAAACTCGTTTTCCTTTCCCTCAGCTTGAGCTGCCCCCCATTTTCTCCCTGGTCAGGAGGGAACAAATTGGGGTTAAGGAGCTCAGGATGTTAGGGACGCTCAGGATGTCAGGTGATGCTACTTCCTCACCTTGCTTGGTAAAACTGCTCTGAGGGCAGAAATAACAGCAGAAGCTCCCAGGGACACGGGGACAGGGCTGAGAGTGTGAGTGACAGGATTATCCCTGGAGGGTCACAGATGCTGGACATGATGGACTCAGCTTCATGAAAATGCATTACTTTTACGCGAACAGCTAGAGAGAACTGTAGAATATATTGTCCTACTTGGTTAAATGGGATGAAAGGAGGATTAGTGAACTTGAATGCATAATCGTGGCCAGTGGGCACAAGAGAACCGCCCTGACACTTCTGCCTTGTCACATCAGCCCTTTGTGGTTGTTCCTTTGCTTGAAAAGTGACCCAGGGGCTCAGCAGTGACCTGAGCTCAGTCCTGGCGCCAGGGTCCAGCCACCTGACGTGCCAACTTGGAGAGAAGCGGCAGTGAGTGTGGCCTGAAAGAGCTGCGCCATTTGCGTGCTCGTGCTGGGAGCTGGTGTGGACAGAGGCCTCGGACTCCCACTCCTCACCCTCACTTGCTGCTCTTCTGGCAGAGCAGCCACATGGACAGACAGGGGTGTCCTCACCCTCCTGTGTGACTGGAGCCAGACCACAGTCCACAGAAGGAGCCTGTGCCTCTCGGAGGGAATTTCATGATCAGGGAGCAAAGTGTGGATTGTTTTCACATTTGCGGTCACTTGGGGGGTCACAGCATTTGGGTATCTTGGTTTGACTAGCACGGTCCTGAGGTTTCAGGGTTGAGAATCCCTCACCCAGGGAAACTGCTTAGAATGAAGCCAAGCATATAACTTGTCAACCTAGAACAAACCTCAACATGCTTATTGTTTTTATTTTATACAGGAGGATGAATTTTTAGAGATGCAAGTAACTAGTATCTCACAGAGCACAAGTTACATGGATTAGGCAACTCTAAATTCCATGCTCTTGCTTCTTTAACACACTGTATGTTCTAGGTCTGTATGAAAAAAAAATCATAGATAGGTAGGTAGGTAGATAGACAGATAGACAGACCTAGACACACACACATGTGCACACACACACACGTTTGGGCTGTGGGGAGATGTTCTGTATGCTGAAATAGCAGTCTTGTGAATTTACAAATATCAGAGTTCACGAATCTGGGTCTCATTTCTTTGTAAAAATAGGATAATAATAGTATTTATATCCTCCATTCCTTTCTTAAACAAGGGAAAATGTGGCTTTAATCACCTGGATCTTCACGCTTCCCTTTCTCTAAAGGATGCCAGCACCAGTGAGTAAATGCCGGTGTCCTGGGCAGGAGAAGTGAACGTAGCTCACTGACATGGGATGAAATTCCACGTATTAATTTGATCTGTGCAAATTAATACATCTTGATAGGCAAATCACAAAAAAATGTGAGCAACTAACAAAGCTCAGAGATCTGTAAGCTTCTACAGGAATATTAATACATTGATGAGAAATTATTGTTTATCCACTAGAAAGGCATGAATCTAGTTGAAGTTTTCTACTCTTTCAACCATTTTTCTTTAAAATTTTCTTCTATGCTCTTTCTATTAAAGTGATATCAAGATACCACATTATACCATTTTCAGGTGTTGTTGAGAATCAACCTGTGTTTTACATTGCATCAAGGTCATTGATGGGAGATTTCTTTTGAGGATTTAATATTTTATATGAAACACCTAATAACATGCTTTGCTCATTGTAAACGTATACATGAAGTAGGCAACTGCAATTAACTGTGTTAATTGCGTAAATAATTCTTAATGAGACAACAAATAAATGCACACAGACTAAGATACATTCGCAAGCATTTGATGGCGCAAGAGGATGTCAGTGACCAGAAGAGACCTCCACAATCCACTGGGATAAACCTCCCCTGAGGGAGCAACTATCTTGCTTGATTTTCAAAATTTTCTATGAAGGAATTACAACCTCATTTTTTTAGAAAAACCCACATTTCAAATCAAACCCCTTTCCTCAATTGTTCTGTAAGAATCTTTTCTTGAGGGAGATGAGAGATGGCTCCAGTGCCCAGTATGATGATTTTTGCACACTAGGGTATGGTTTTCTCATCTGTTGCCTCTTTTCTTCTCTCATATATTTCTCTTCAAAGATTTCTCCTGAAGTGAGTTTCATAGGACTCCCTGTACCTCTGGAGAGTTTATCAACTAGTATAGCTCCCGGGTCACAGAGACACATCTCCAGTCAAAGAGGCTCAGCAGCAGGAGAGCCCCAAAGTCAAGAGGGGGGACTGTGGATTCAACTTCAAGCACTACCAGTAACCAGCCGTGTGGTCCGGGAAGAGTTACTCTCCTCAATGCCTCAGTCCCTCAGGCTGTGAAATTCAGGGTTTCCAGTGAAAGCCAAGTAAAATAATCCATGCAAGTGGTTTAGCAGATTATCTAGAAGTTTCTATAAAACTTAATTGTATTATCACTGTCATTCCAGAAGTGACAACTTAGCATAGACAAGGAAATTTTTTTTTTAAGATTTATTTATTTATTCGTACACAACTGGGGTACAGGCCAGAGATGGCAAGGGTGAGAGGCTTCACCAGAGACAGAGTGGGGAGCAGAACAGGCAGATGGAAGAAGTACACTGCTGAGGGGAGCAGCGGGCGGGTCGGGAGAGGTCTGCTGCGCCATGTGGTCACCTCCGGGGCAGGCGGGGATCGAACTCAGGCAGAAGTGGCTTTAGCTTCTTAGTGCAGTGCTTTAACCCGCTGCGCCCCCATGGAGGGCTCCAGACAAGGAAATTTTAATTGTGGGAACTCTCTCAGTCAGGGGTATTTAGAGAAGGCCATAAGCCACTTACATCATGAGCCAGGTGGGTCTTCCTTAGCCACACCACTGAGATGCATCACTAACGCACAGGGATGGATGTCTGTTCAGTTGCTTTCTTCAGCTGTGAGCACCCTAGAGAAGTAGGGACAGTGAAAAAAATTTAAATTAATGGGATTTTGGATAAGTACGTAAAAAGCAACTGTGGAAGCTACTTCCAAAATATTCAGTAAGAGCTGTGGTTTGAGGCACAGGTGAGGTACAGAGCATTTGAAATAACACCAGCGCCAAGCGCAACATCCCCTTCCTAATATCTCCATTCAACGTGTGTTCTCACCAGGAGGCGGAAACGGAAGCAAGTTCTATTTGAAGAGACCTGGGATACCCAGAATAAGGTCAGTTTCCTCAGAATATTCGTTTTCCTCTTTCGTGCATATCTGTGTCCACAGTGCTCTGCCGTGTACAGTTTTGTCTTGTCGCTCCGTTTTGACAGTCAGCCATCTTACTGTTTTACCCACCTTAAAGAAAATGGCCATGCCGGTATTTAAGTAGCAGCCATTTGGAAAAAACAAACAAACAAACAAACAAACAAAAAATTACTTTTCGAACTAGTCCCTTGTTATGAAAACCATTTACAATAATATAAATCCAGGGGCAGTTACACTGACATCACAGCAAACAACACTCCCCATTACCAAAGCCTGCCCCGGGGAAGCCCCCACAAAATTGCCATCAGGTGGATGACTGAAAGCCACACAAACTGATTTTCACATAGTTCTGGAAGGCTGAAGTCCAAAATTAAGGTTGCAGAGGCCCCGTGCCTTCTTGGGATGACGCTCAGCTGCGTACCCCCTGTAGCGTCTGGTGGTCGCTGGAAGTTCTTGGTATTTCCTGATGTCCTGGCGCATCACTGCCATGGCTGCACTCTTCAGGCAGCGTCTGCCTCGTGCGTGAGTGCGCGTGGCCTGTTCTTCTGAGGACCCCTGTCATATTGGGTGAAGGGGACTCCTCCTCACTCCAGTAGGACTTCATCTAATCTATCGGTAATAACACTATTTCCAAATGAGGTTCTGGGGGGCACTACCTGATGCAGGTCAGGATATAATACTTTTATGTGATTATTGTGAGGATTTAATTATATTAGACTACACAAAAGACCCCAAAATTAGCAAGCAAATGGAAGGACACAGTGTGTGATATTCTATAGCATCATCAGTTTTGGATTAATTTACTAATTGGTGGAAGCTCAGATGATAATTTTCTGGTGGACTTGGGAGTCTGATGAAATGTGATGTTTTCCCTCCTTGCTGTACCTTCCATCTGTTCTTTTATGTTTAATTGAAAGCGTAGAAAATTCCTTCTGGCTTTGCCGATAAGAAGAATGCTTACTTTCACGTTCATTGTCTCCACCATGGGTCAGATAGTCTCCTCAACACATGTTCTTCTGTTTATGACAATTTACAATAAAACATTTCACCAAGTATTATCTAAAATTACATCCACCTCTCCTCAATTTAATTACTTACAATTTAATTCTACATAGCCAACATATCAAGAACTAAAATTTTGTGATAATCCGAAAGGTGTGCCTCAGACTTCTTAATAACTGACCCGGTTAGCTTTTTTCTCTTATTAAGTAGTTACTCCTGGCAAAACAAACAACTGCATAGACTCAAATAGTAGTGTTGCCAGTCTAGCAGACAATATAACAGTGCTCTGCAGTGTACAATTTTTGGATCCTTTCTTTATCCTTAGCTATTCTCCACACAAGCCAACCAAAAGTCAAATTTATTGCTGTGAATTTCAGAGGAGGAAAGAAGCTCAGCAACTTCCAGCATTAGGTATTTAAGATTTTTAGTCTTTTTGTAGAATAACTATAATTTAAAGAATGATTAGAAAGTCAGATTATATATTGGACTATGAGAGAGACAAGCAGTTGGGTCAACATGGATTTTTTTTAATGGACTTTGTAATTATAATGGCACTTGAGCCTTAAAGAAGGCTTTCTCCTTGCATACAACAAAAGCAGTCTATATTTCTAAATCTCTCTCTCTCTCCCCTTCTTTTTCTCTCTGTTCCCCTCTTCATGCACATACCCCATATTTTCCATCACATACACATATACATTCACTGGGCAAACTGATTAAGGGTGAGATGATATTGACTGTACAAATATCTGCAAATTGAATGTCAGTTTGTTTTGATAATTTCTCTCTCTGTTGTTCATTGTAAGCCAGGTCACCATGTCAGATATTTCTTCATTAGACATTCACTCAACAAAGATTAATGGGTGTCCACTGTGGGAGTATATAGAGTAGGCTTTCCATGTTAAGAAATGAGAATGATTGTCCTCATCAAAAAAGCCTGCTACTGGGGGAAAGAGTACTATATTCAGTCAGTTCATAACACCAGCAGGTCTGTGATCTTCAGGAGTATCAATTCCATACATCTCACTCAGTCAGGCAGATGAAGAACATGACTTTTCAGTAAGTTCACTACACTGAAGAAAATGTTTTATGAAGTTGTTTGGTAATAGAAATTTGACTGGTATTGTAGCTGAATTGAGGCGTGATGTTTTGAAATGTCTTCATTAGTTGCCAATTGCAGTGCAGTTTTGACATTCTCGTTTTTGTTTGTCTAGGCTATGAACAACTCCAGAAACCCCATCTCTGTCAAGGAACCACCAGACGGTACAACAGAGGATATTTATGTCAACTACCCAACTTTCTCTCGTAGACCGAAGACTAGAATCCAAACTTTCCCCTTGGTCTGAGCAAATTGATGAGGGCTATTGCATACTTCATTCTCCATATAATTTCCCCTCTGACTTAGTGTCTACCTTGGATATTGGTTGGCTGAATTTATTTCATTTGATAGAAAAACATACTATATTGCTGAGAGAACATTCTTAACTGAAATATTCAGAAAAGCTATAATTAGCTTCTACCTAAAAGGAAACTTACTGTGTATTATGATGAAACAATCAAGGGGGGACCCAATTTCAGGCATGGGTTATTTACCAGGACTTGAATGTGTCAAGATTAAGTATGCACATAAACCCATTTTGGGTCCCTTTGCATGGTGTCAGATCTGCCTCCTTGGTTTGAACTCTCAGGCTTTCTTCTTGTGGTTACGAGAGGGCTACCAACAACTCATTGGTTCTGCCTGGTAGGGAATTTGATTCTCTAATAGTGCAAACAGATTGGGTATTTATCCACCTTATTTATTATTTATGCACTCTATCCAAAAAGGATGAAATGGCTTAAGTCAATTAAGTTTCCACTTTTAACAGTAGGACTGGGCCAAAGCACATTGCTGGGAAATTCTGAGCATCATTAAGAGAGGGAAGGGGAGTCCGGAAGCTGGGGAGATTCCCAGTCAATGTTGGTGCAGTGACAGTCAAGCCATCTCTTTACCCAGCCAAAATGAAAATACAGGGTTGGCTCTAGGTGATCTCTCTCCCTAGAATCTGTCATGTCGACAAAGCTCAGAAGATATTGACCGAAGAATACATGAAGGGGATAAGAAAGATCAATGTGACAGGGAAATCTTTCCCCCTTTCTACTCTCCAGTAGCTGAATCTCTGGCTTTATTTAGGATTCTTACCACCATCCCTGCCCTATAGCCTTATGAGCAAGTGAGTAGATGGCCTAATAGTAACCTGATGCTTCTGATGATGAAATTTTTCCTACCTTTGAGAAATACATTTAATATATATATTCTCTCAAAAGTCAGATGCATTCACTTTTTTTATTAGTAATAATTTGAAATCTGAATGCAAGAAAAGGAATAACAGTAGGAAGGAATGGGGTGGGGTGGGATGGAATGGCAGGCAGAAAAGGGAGAGAAGAGTGTTACAGGGAAGGGGGAAAGAACCAAAGTCAGGGGAGATACAAAGAGAAGCCTGTCCATTGCACAGTTTGGCCTAAGATAGCTCAAGGAACTTGCTGGCAATCGAAGCAATTGGCAACCAGCCTGGGCTGTCGAGACCCTCAGTGAAGGCAGTCAGGAAAAACCTTCGTGAAAATAAACAGTGGTCATGATCATACAAAACAGAATGGCCATTCCCAAGGAGAATGGTCACTCCCATCTTAAGAGTCCATCACTCAACTCTCAAAGACTCATCACTGAAGTTTCATTGAGGTATCAGAGTGGGGGACTGCTCTCTTTTAAGTGAACCAAAGCCCAAGTCTTAGGTTGTCTAGACAGATTCTAAGTTGTCGTTTACAGCTTTAAACAAACCAGTTGCATCTTTAATGATCTTATCTTTAAATATTTAAGGTATTTAAATATTTAGCAGTGCAAGTATTCTGTGAATTACCAAAATGGCAAGCGTCTCTACTAGACAGAGGGGCACAGTGAGAGAGATCATTTTCCACTTGTACTTGTCTACGTGAGGTAGAGGTAGCTCTCATTTTTTTGTTTTATTTTGTTTCATTTTCTTTAATTATGTTTATATGTGAAGTCCTCAAGTGTTTCCACAAACACTTTACTGAGGTTGGAAGTTTGCAGAATACATTGTGTGGTTTTGTGAGCTACATCAGGTCTGGGAAGTTTTCCTGGCCCAGTCTTTCCTTTTACTTATGAAGCATCATTTGAAAGTATTACTTTCACTTTAAAGTTAATCAAAATATTATTTTCTGGAAGATTCTACTGACCAAATTCTCAATGACCAATATAAATGAGAGGTAAAACTTTTCTACCCCTGCAATAGGGAGACATGCAAAGTCCCTCTTTACAGAGAAAATGACTAAGGGGACAGAAGTACAATAAGTTGTTGGTTGCTGGGTTTTTCTCATGGGTCCTTGAGCACCTGGTGTCACCTAACCTTGCACCTGAGCATTGAGAAGCCTCCAGAACATCTGAAGGACTTCTCTTTTGCCGTGGGTCTTTAAAATCTCTGACTCAAAATATGTACGAGAACTATTTGCTCTGTCCCTCCTTCTTTTCTACTTATTCTTATCACGTTAAAGGCAAGAATATAACTCTGCCAAGTTAAGGACTTTTTTCAAGGATTTAAAACCTCCTCAGTCCTGCTGAAAATTCTCTGGCCTTTCCTGCCAGCCGACTGCACTCTTAGCTGTTACACTGATGAAATTCTGTTCATCTTCTTTGTATGTGTTCACCTAACAAAGCACTTTCATACTAGCTCTTAATTACCATACCTGATTTGCGAGAGTTGTTTAGCTGTACCACCCCACACATCACACACATCCACACAATCTCTGCTCTCTGTGTGTCTATGCATGTTCAGTAACTTACCTGTTGTGCATAGCCTACATAGCATGCTGACTTCAGACATCAATAGGCCCAGAAATTACAAGATCAGATTTGTTTTAAATTATGCCCTAAGTATTTTCTGAAAGTGCTACTTAGGGAGCAAGGTGCTTTCTAAGATGCTTTTTTACATACAAAATTTATATTGATATATAATACATTAAATCAAGCTATGCTCCCTTTGAATACCACTGTGTTACTGTTGACATTGAAGTCACAAGCGAAAGGGCCTTGCTATGTGATATAGGTATTTGCTTATGAGTAGGTAAGTTTGTTAAGACTCACTATAGACACACAGATTTGTCAGGGAAAGAACACATCTTTTAATATGATGACGGGGCATTGATAATATTATCATCATTGAGACCTTGAAACATTGAGACCTTTCTGCAGACTGAGAAAATAGAGTAGAAATTTCATTAACTTGTAATATGCTTATGAATGAGGAGTAGGTTATGAATGCGATGAATAATTTTGAATTAGTGACAATTCAAATTTATAGATTGTTTTCAGTAATTCGGTTTGTTAAAAACACAACCCATATAAATTTAGAATACACTATCAGTTTACAAGCTAAAGTAAAATAAAAATTTCAGTAAGTTTACTTTCATCATAAACATGCTATATTGGCTTGTGTAGCTGATAAGAAAAACCACAGCTGCATTGCAGTGATTTTCTAAATCGGTGAGTCCATATTGTCATTAGACTTCACTGTAATCAAAATGCCTCTCCTTGATTTATAATGATTTGCTGCAGGTGGTGCTGCTGGTGTGAAATTTCAACAAGAATGGAGATCTTGGTGAATGAAGATGTTTGCAAAGTATAGACTTGGGCGTTAAAGTATGACTTTAGCTTTTTACAGCAGCGATCAAAAAAACATTTGAGATCCATAAAGCACAAAAAAAGATAATACCGTTATTTCCCACTTTTCTATTGTAATGTCTACAAAGTGTTGACTTTGCATTTGGACTTTTGCGTTGATTCATATCTTTTCATTGGAATGATCACACTTGCACATGTATCTGAAAAATAAGAGGTGTTCTTAAAAAAAGTAAAACGTTGCATTGCCAGTGGTCCAATAGGTAGGATGTATTTTCCAGTGTTACCTGAGCAGTTTTTAAAGGAAATTTTACCAATGGTCAAGATCATTTAGCATGTTATATGTATTTCCCGATTCAGAGCACTCTGTTTGAAGGTATTGTAAGGAAAGATCTAATCTGGAGGTCGGTGATAGATGTCTAGAATGAAAGCCAGAGTTTTATTGTCTCTGCTCGAGGGAGCTCTGTGTTCATGCTCTTGAACTTTTTTTTTTTTCAGTTATTTTGAACTCAGACTTAGCAGAGTGTTCAGATGTTTGGCCCAATGCACTGTGTGCCATGTTTGAATGACGAAAGTTCAGTGCACTGCAGTATTAATTTTGTAGCCATCAAGGAGCATTAGGTGAAAATTATAACACAACAGGAAGAGAGAAATACAGCAAAATTCCAAGTGACTGACATTGTAACTTCTGTCTCAAGAAGTTTGGGACATTTTACAAGTGTGTGCAGTTCAAAAAGACAACATCTGTTGAGGACATTTTGCAAAATGTTACTTCCCTGCTCTTCCTGTTTCTCTCCCACTGAGACAAGGTGAATTTTGGATTATTTTATTCCTCTCTGCTTTTCTGAATCACATATTTTTATCACAGCTAATTTGTTCAATTGTCAGCATTCTTCAATTCTTCACTGGTTTAGAGGGCCTCCCCCACAGGCTCACCACGCATGCACTCCTTCTCATGGGTCTAAGCTTCCAAAACATTTGCATTAAAATTTTGATTGGTTCACTATTTGGTGGTTCTTTTTTTTTTTTTTTTAAGATTTTTATTTATTTATGCATACAGAACTGGGGTACGGGCCAGAGGTGCAGGGTCAGTGAGAGGACTCACCAGAAACAGAGTGGGGAGCAGAACAGGCAGATCAACCGATCAACAGCAGATCAACTGCTGAGGGGAGCAGCGAGTGAGACAGGAGAGTTGCTGCACCATGTGGGTCACCTCTGGGGTGGGGATCGAACTTGTACTGAAGGGGCCAAGGCTTAGCTTGGCTTTGCAGTGCAGCCCTCCAACCTGCTGTGCCACCAGGGAGGGCCCTGGAGGTTCTTTTTAAATAATCTTTCATGTCAACATTCTTTTCTGTGGAATCACATAAGTAAAACTGGGTGTGCTTTCTCTTCTCTGTAGCTATTTCCACCTCTAGCTGATGTTCGTCTCTTTCTAGTTTGCCACCTTGGCATCTGACCTAGATAACCTCACACTTGTCATGGTCTGTATATCACTCCAGGTCCTCTGGGGTGGAGTCCTCGTCTTCCTAAAAATATCCCCCTAGAACCTAAACTTGAGCCGAGAAGCAGTGGTTCTTTCTGCAGAGCTTTCGTCCCGTGTCCCCCTTCACCAGGGAAAGAAAGAAAAGAACCTAAAACTGAAATCAGTTCTAGAAACATTCCTGGATGTGAAGTTCC